AAATACAAAAATGTAAACTTTTTATTTGTTTTAACTGGATTTTAACTGTAGTGGTTTATGATTACATAATCAATCAAATTTTCAAATTCATTAGACACATATGTTACAAAAGTGATATAATGGAAGAAAAACCTATTGTCTTCATATTTGGTCATTAAAAAGCATTTAACTGAATGTTTATAGTTCGCCTTGTTGATCTGTACAAAAGGAAAATTAGTCGATCGAAGGCATGCCTCAGATATAAGAAAGCACCCGGGTACCATTTTTTCCGACAAGATGATGTCTACCACCCTGTGCACCGTAGAATGGTTGGATGATAACAGTCGAACCTAAAGGAATAGGATGAACATTAGAGCTTTTACTAATGGGATGTAGGTGTTTTGAAGGAATCAGCCATGCAATGGAAGTAAATCCAGGAGGCGTAGGAAAATTCTGGGTATTTTGGGTTTTATTATTGATCATTTACATTGGATCAAGAAATATATAGTGATAAGAACTTACTGTAAATGTTGGTAAGGAAAAATTATAGCTTTTAGAACATTTCGGAGGATCTTGGAGGTGATATAGAAACTTTTTTTTATTCTGGGTGTTGACTGATGAATTTTCCGTATCTCAAAGCGAAGTATAATATCAAGTTTAAGTTTTTTATTTTGTATACGGTTTTTTTAAATTGGGATTATATTTTATAATGCGGTACTAACTAATACTAATTGGCATCACTGAATAACTGTTTGGCATTTTAAAAAAATAATTTAATGTATGTTCACTTGAAAGAATTATTATAGGTTTTAATGTGTTTTTACCATGTAATAATGGTAATTAATTTACAAATGAATTTTACGATTTTAAACCAATTATTTTATTTTTAAAAAGTGCCTAGTTTTTAAATAGAGCTTTTATGATTTTTCGCAAGTGATAATTCGTTTGATTTTCATCCGGGCTAAGAGGGTTTATTTCTTTTCTTTTTTTTAAACTCTCAAGACTGGTATTTTTCCCCTTCGAGGACGTGAATTGTTATGCAACATACAATAACAAACGGTGAGGCTTTCTTTCGGTCCTTTAGGTACTCCTCCAGGTTAACACCCCAGGAGTTAGGGGGAAGAATCCACCCCCTTAAGAAATGCCCTCGCCGACCCACGATGAAATTGAATAAACGACACCCTCTAAATAAAAAAAAAGGAAAAATCGCGAAGAAAACACATTCGTAAAAGCCAATAAATGCCAATCAAGCTTATCCTCTGTCAAAATAATTCAAACTTCAGAAAACAAATTAAGGGATTATCCCAAAGAGAAGAAGATAAAATAAATGAAATTATCTTTGAATCTTTATTTTTAAAATAAAATCAATTATAACATTATAACAAGATTTCGAGAGGAATATTGAAACTTTAGGAACTGTTGTGAAATTAAGACATTTTTATAAGAAAGTTATTTAAAAGAATATCAATAAACAGAAGAATTATTTTTAATTATTTTATGTAAAATCATTTTGTAAACGTGACAATATAATTTCAAATTAATGTAACGAATTACCAATTTATTTATTTTTATTTATGAACAGTTTTCTTTTAATTCCTAGTAATGTTTTATATTTATCTCATAAAAACTAATTTTTATTCTTCTTTTTCTTTTGTATCTAGGGTTGGTGTTAAAATGTTCAAAACAAAAACAACAACAAAACCCTGGCTATATATCACATTAGAAAGACGACCCCTTACCTTATTTTGGGAATATTAAGTACGAGCGTATATAATTTAATGTATAAATATATTAAAACAGGAATATGTTGAACATTTATTTTCAAGAAATTCGTGTTGGTTGTCAATGCTTATGTTAAATCATCGCCGGACTTGTGCTTGTTTTCCTTTGTTTTCTGGTCTTTTACCCCTATTTTGTATTAAATTGCATAAATGTAATCAACCAATCATAAAAATTTTAACTTAAAATGTTGACCATTGAATAAGTGTTAATCTATTTATTTATAATATCCTAATCGTTCTTTTTTGTTTTAGTATATAGCATAATTAGATTTCGTGGTCCAATGGACTAAATAACTTTTTCCAATTAATTAATATTTATGAAAGGCATTGGTTGAGATAAAAAAGTCAGCGTCACATGCGGGATTCGAACCCTCGACCTTTGGCTAAATACGCCACTGCTCTACCACTTGAGCTATCGTGACAAGTGGTAGAGCTGCGGCGTATTTAACAGAAGGTCGTGCGTTCGAATCCTGCTCGTGCCACTTACTTTTTTACCTCAACCAATACCTTACATAAAGATTAAGTCAGCATAATGTACTTTTTTTTATTAATGTGGACGTAATATGGAAGGAGAAGAATATTAGAGAATAAGATTCAATCAATCATTCATGAAAATTTCAATTAATTAAGGTTTTTAGTTGAGATAAAAAAGTCTCGATCCACTCGTGTTGATCCACTCGGACACTAACTTCCCATCTCAATCCCACCTTTTGAATTTTCTCTCCTTTTTGCCATTTTTCAATTTTTTATTTCAACTAAAAACCTTAATTAATTGAAATATAATAATTGTTCAAGTGGACCTCGAAAACTAGTGAATTTAATTCATGAAAAAAAAAACGAAAATAAATTCACTATATTTATAACATTATTCATATCATTTATGTAATTATTTGAAAATGTTGTGATATTTATGGGGACGTGTATGTATTATCCCGCTCCTAAGTGGAGATTGTAACTTTTATGCTTGTTAAATTATAAAATGCAATAAATTAAGCATAAAAAATTTAATGCTAGGTGATGGTTTAGGAGTCGGAGAATTCACGCTGAACCGGCATCGGGTCACTTATTTGATCCGTGTTCAGGCAGTTGCTCACTGAAGATGACGCGATGGCGCAATGCCGAACGCGTTCGAATAGTTCAACAAACTTGCTCGTGAAGACGGACCAGTTCAGGTTAGAAATTTTAGCTTGGAAGAGTGATAATATACTAAATATTAATCTTTTTGTATGAAGTTTACTGTTTAATGCTTATTTGTTTAGTTAAAACAAAAGGTTTTCATATTTTATGAGTTTAAATACAAAAATCAATCATGTAGATCTTAATTTGAAAGAAAGTTAATTTACGAAATATTTATCTACTTATTTGGCAATTCGTTAAGGGTTTTTTGTGCTTGGATAGAGCTAAAATACATTTATTTTTCATGTGAAAATTGCGTTCAATTAAAGAGATGTTAAATAATTAAATGTCATAAATCTATCGATGTCTACTTTCCTGATTGTTGATACCTACTTGATTTTAAGTTAAATAGAATAACAATTTGTTTTTGATTTCTTGAATTGATATAAATAAGATATTTTTTAAAAATGAAATTTGTAAATAATTATAAATAGAATTAAATATCGTTTCATTATTCAAAAACGTATATTTTTCCCTAGGCTAAATTTGAAGGGCTGGGTTGTAAATTAAAGGTAGATTTTCGCCGTGCGGGTGGTACGGGAGCCCGCTGCGGCCGGCCATTAATTCTTCATTTTCCTATTTATTGCCGGGTAGGGATGTCGTTTCCGTAAATTAAACAGCTCGATCCATTACAACCTCATGCAATTATAATTATGCCCTAATTTATTTAAAAGATGCGCTTTACCAAACACGAGTGATGTTACAGGGAAAAATTCAACCTTCTATGGCAAAATTGCGCTACGACTTTGCAAATCGTTAAAAGAAACCAGTTGGTTATTTCGGTGTGTGTGTGTGTGTGTGTGTGTTTGTTTGTTTGTTTGTTTGTTTGTTTGTTTGTTTGTTTGTGTGTGTGTGTGTGTGTGTGTGTTTGTTTGTGTGTGTGTGTGTGTGTTTTTGTTTGTGTGTGTGTGTGTTTTTGTTTGTGTGTGTGTGTGTGTTNGTGTGTGTGTGTGTGTGTGTGTGTGTGTGTGTGTGTGTGTGTGTGTGTGTGTGTGTGTGTGTGTGTGTGTGTGTGTAATTGCGTAGAGAACTACATAATAACATATTACATAAAAGGTTAAAAATGTAAAATAAATAATAATAATTTGACTTTTAAATTTGAAAAGGTCAATTACTTTTGGAATTTGTCTTCTAAAGAATAGTACATGAATTATAAATATACTATCAATAATTTTTATTATTGGTTTAAGTAAACCAAAACTCGTCCCAACCACCGCGATCCGGCCCCCGGGCGCTAAAAATGAAGAAAAACACGATAAGTTCTCGCTTATCAAGAGTTTTGATGCCTAGTAGAAGAAGGGTCACCCTCACCCGAAGGTGAGGTCATGAGTGTCTATCAACTTAGCATCCTTCTTCACCACCTTAAGGTGAGTAACGGTTGACTACTATAAAACAAAAAAAGGTACACAACCGACATTCGTACATAAACATTTTTACAAACGTTGATAATCCAAATAAATTGATAAATAATTTGCAAATTTACTTGCCACTAAGTTAAAACCACGTTTGATCAAATAGTATTGTACAGTAAAGAGAATATGAAATAACTCAAGTTTCCTTACGTAGGAAAAGAGTAATTTTTTGTAATAAATGATCATATTTATATCACAGAATGGAATTGCAAAAAAAAAGCGATGTAATTATTCAAATATGCACGTATAAATAAAGTATTCGATTACTAAAAAATTAAAGGACGTTAAACCAAGTTAAACAAAAATGTTGGAAACTAATGTTTTCTCCCGACAAGTCATGCTTTACAAGGGACGAGCGCGTTAAGGGACGGGTGTGTCGACCGGTCGGAGACAATGTAAACCAAGTTACAAAAGGAACCCTATCAGCAATCCAAATTAAAAAAATGTGAGAGTGAGAAAGTTCGAAGGTCGCGAAAATAGAACGAAAGTAAAACTGAACAACAGCAGGGAAACTTCTCAGGGAGAGATAACCCTTACACGGAAAAAAACTTGCGGAGGATGAGAGGACTTGAGTCAATTACGGATTTCCTCAGGCGGGGGTATATTTATTTTTTTAATTTTTTGGACAGAGTGTAAAAAATGAAAAACTCACCCCGTTTTCGGGCATGCTGGCGTTTTGACGGTCCGACGCGCCGGGCACGACTGAGTGCGACTACGCTCTCATAAAAGGGGTTGATTAAATCAAACTAATCACGGTTACCTGGCCGTTCATTAGCATATCGCCGGCTCGGAGGGGGAAATAAAAGCCCGTGGGAAAAAAATCGCTTCCGGGCGCCTTGGATTTGCATAAGACGCCGGGAACATCTGCCCCGATGTGTGCCGTACGGCCTATAAATATTCATACAAAAAGTCCTGAGCAAAGGAGGAGGATGAGAAATATTAACATTGTTATAAGGGCGGCTTGATTGTAACTCCCTTTCGGATCCTTCAAGAACAGATGCAAATGTCTGACTACACGCGTAACTCTCCCTTTTTCTCCCGTGTGTTACGAAACGGTTAATCCAATAATAAAACGTACAGTTGCACATTTTCCATCGGGACGTGATACGGAATTGTCTTCGAGCGTCGTCGAGGGCGGGTCGACACACCCGTCCCTTAACGCGCTCGTCCCTTGTAAAGCATTGTAAAGCACTTGTCGGGAGAAAAAAAGTAGTAAATTTAAGAGATAAGCAAGAAAAGAGGGTTAGGAGGTAAGAAAAGGAAAAGCGGGCATAGAATACCGGGCATTAAAATGATCGTACCCTCCGCGCTTAAAAAGAAAGAGATAAGGGAGAGACTAAGTGCCGGCTCAGGTATTGTTTTGCAACGCGCCCACTTTTTTAATTGTCGCTTGTCACGAGGAGTAATTACAAGTTTCATTCGTGTAGTCATTTGTCCACCGGAGCCGGAGTTGCGACAAAAAAGGCACGACCCTCGTTTGTTAACTAAACTGTAGCAATATGATACAAATCGGGAGATAGCGGCTAATGGGATGCCTTCCGGCCGGGGCTCGCCTCTTTTAGAAATACACCGGAGCTCGCGGAGATCGTGATTCGGGCACTGATTAATCGCCAAGTGGAAAAAAAAACATCGGCAGACGCAGTAGAACGGAAGTTCTCAACACCTCCGCGACGCATTTCTTGAAATAATTCAACATTTTTCGATTTTTCTCATCTCCCCTGACTACTGTTTAATCCAACTGTTAATTTTCAAAGCCCACTAACGCGTTGTTAGGGGAGGCCAAAATCCCTCCCCTTAGCATCAGAAGAGAATTTTTGGCAGGCAAATTTTTGTCCTTCCGGTTTATGAACGCTAACCACGAAGTGGAAAAACCAGCTGAAGCTGCATTCCCTATCCCTTCGTCGGGTAGACGTCAACAAAAACGGGGTAGCAATAATCCGTTATGGTATAACGTATTCCTCAAATTTAAGGCTTTGTCGTTGGTGAAATCGCCCCGCAATAACAGTGACAAAAGGCTAAACCCAAAAAAACCTCATTCATTCTGCGAATATAATTTGCTCTATGGAAGACCTAACCGAAAAAACCGAAAATGTCATCTCCTGCTACACTGTAGGCATATATCCTTAAACTATGATGTTTTTTTAACAGATGGTTCGAAATCATCAAAGATGTAGGGCAGCCTTCCTGGAAGCGCACAGCGAAGGCCACAAACGATAAAACTGCCAAATATTACTTCAATTTTTAAAGAGGAAAGCGTAGCTATTGAAGTAGCTATCAATTATGTAGGAAGCTGCAACGTCTAGGTAAGGTCCTAAGTATTTGACTTGCTTGGAAATCGGTATCTCTTTGTTCTTAACGTACAGTCGTGGGGCAGGACTGTTTTTTTCCAATGTGATCCAACACTGAGCATATTTTTCTTCATTTAGTCTTGTCCTCAACATTTTTACCAGCATTCTTACACGTTTAGAACAAAAGTAGTACTTCAAGCTAATAAAAATGGAGTATATTTATGTTTTACAGATGCAATAATGGATATTATATCATAAATTTCTTTAAATATTACTCAATACATTTATAAGGGTAAATTAAACAAAATGACGTGTTGAACATGAGCGACTACCGTTAAATTCATTTTAAAATATATAACATACAAATAGATATAAAAAAAATCATATATATCTTCTTTAACGGGTCAATGAATTGCTGACCAATTAGCTGATCGATTTTAATCAAATTGAAATAAAAGGTTTGCAATTGTTGTTTTATTGAAGCCAAAATTATAGCGCACACAATTCAAAGAAAATACATTGTTGATATTTTCAACAAACTAACGATCAAACATATTTATATTTCTAAACATGCAGTAAGGCATATTCAGCAAATATACTCTAATTTAGTTAATATCGTTACGATAGTACACCGGTGGATAAGAATGATTATGAATTTGGATCTGCAAGAACATACATAGGCCCTGAACCTATGGGATAACAAAAAGAAATATAGAATCCTCCAACACAGAATCGATCCAAACAATACAAAAGGAGAAGTGGATAAACTCTAGCAGTGCTGGACATAGGAAACTTATGGTGAAACAACCCTCACTAAGACTGGCAAACTCACTGCTGCATTTGGAGCGGGCATACTCAGAGGAGTGATAGTGGCTTACATCCCTGATATTTTTCTTTGTGAGTCTTGTGCCGGTCGGCACATTTCTTTTTCCTCGAGACTCGATTTCGAATGAATTTACAAAGATACAGACTTATATAATCAACTTCTTAGGTACAACGAAAAGCTAGATTTATCCAGATTGAGATTATTCAGTTTAACGAGGACAATTTCCATGATCATCGGTTCACTTTAAATTTTAGAAAGGGGCCTCCAGACTCCACAACACGTACTCACGAAGTGTAATAAAAGTGAAATCGAAAACTCCAACGGAAACCAATTGGAACGATAAGTACAAAGCAATAATTGGTCAAATTTAAATACAATGAGTAGAATTTTGAAGATTGTAGGTGGTAAAACATTAATTTATTCCTACTAATACTAAAGCGATAGTAATAAAAATACAAGGGGGCGTCGGTGGCCGCAACAGTTTTGTCGTTGACTGCGCATATTTCTGTAAGAAAAAGGTACCGAGTTCGAATCCAACAGCCCTGCATTCGAACCTGACACAATTTCATGACTGTATAAGTAGTTGTTCATAATATTATTTAAACTTGTAAATTATTAGTAATAGTTTAAATTCCTAATGAATGAAGTTATATCCCTCGAAGGTTTGACGAAAGAATCGTTTTGGTTTTTTTCCTTTCAAATTGGCGTTATCCTTGATTTTTAAGTCGAAATTCTTATATTTCAGGCTGATATCAATTATTCGAGATAAAAAAAACTCAAAATTACAATATACGGAATGGCATATGTTACTCCAATTTTGGATATTATATCGTATAATAGAAATAAATAATTGTAATATTTTATAAACAAACATCATTTTAAAAAATTAATAATTTAAAATTTGTCTACAATTCTATTTTATTTTCGATATGTTGTACACAGCCTGCTTATAATTAAATTTGTTTTATAAGCATTCTGAAATATGTACTTTATATGAACCGTTAAATTTTGATGCGGTGGGTTGTAAGTTAAATAGACACTAAAGCTTTGGGGGAATTTCATGCTGAAACAAGTCGTTACAATCACATAAAACACAACATGTCTTTTTGACGTAATGACAAGTAAATATTAAATAGTGAGAACCATTTTATTATTTTATGATTGAACCATGCGAAATGTTACAGGACTGTTTAACATATCGAAGAAATAAACTGCTGTTATTCTTCTGCCCTAAAATTGTCTTTCATACGAGATCACTGTTGCTAATTCCACTCGAATTTGCCACGCTAGAGGTTCTGCGTTCGAAGCCTGGCTCAGCTGATAAAATTTCGTACCCGACATACTTACAAATGGGCTTTTTTTCACTGACACCCAGGAATTTGGAAGGACCGTTTTTGTTGCGACCCTCGTAATAAAATTCTTAAAACAATTAAATATTTTAAAAAACTCAGAGGAGTGATAGAACTACTAACCGGTCACTGGCATCTGAGAAAACATCTACACAACATGGGTATATACAACGATGATCCCATTTGCAGATTGTGTACTGAGGAAGAGGAAACCGCCACTCATATCATTTTCGAATGCGAAGCAACAGCTCAATGGAGATTTAACCTAACGTACGGTAAAAAGTCTATTGCACTGAACTAGGGACCTAGAAAAGTACAATAAGCCAGAAGGCTGCAGTGCCTAGGGAGTGCAAACCCCGCTTCCTAGTATCCTTTTTTACCATACCATACCATCATGAATTCTTTTTTTTCCACAATGGATGTAATTTTTGTAAAAAAATAGCCAAGGTTTTTTAAACTTATAGCCCAAACTTTTGAAGTCCGTCGATGATCACTCATCCAAAACAAAACGATGGGCACGATGCATACACCCTCATTTAAATGTAATAATGGACATTGTCAAGGATAAGCAAGTGAGCAACAAAGAAATGAAACAATTCTTCACACATAACAGCAATGACAAACATTTGCAATATAGCAATGTACTGAATTAAAACAATAATGAACCATCAGCTGGTGTGATGAACCAACAGATAAAACAACATCAATAAAAATTGTTACGTCAAGGGTCAAGGTGGGCAGATTTCTTTTGTCAACAAAAAATAATTATTTGCCAAAAACAGACCTAAGTGTTTATTTTATATTTTAGGTCAAAAAATCTTTTTATTTGATTTGTAGTACAGTAGATTTCCACAAAAGGGGTTGTGTTGGTGATACGCCCAAGGTTCTTGGATGTTGGAAGTAGCTTTGATATGATTCGAGTTAGTCGACATACTTGCAGGATCACCCGCATAGGTGGTGATGAATAGATGTCATATTAGTATCTATAGCTCCGTAAGCATTATAAATGATATGATGGAACCAAGAAATGGCCCACCGGCTTGTGCTGGTTTGACTTCCAAAAACTCGTTTCCGCACCTTACTTTGAAGCAGCAATAAAGATTAATGTCCTAATGACACTTCATACACACTTATGCTAATATTGTTTTAGTGATATTTCTTATCTAGTTTCTTACACTTCACACACATTAATTTGAAGCCACAATAGCTCAAGGAGTTTAACCGAAGGTCGTGGGTTCGTATCCCGCTTCTGAACTG